ACCTCCTAGTTTTCCATCCCACCAACAATGGACCATCAAAGTTCCTCACAAACTTTGGCGATTTAGTATTGATAAAAAATAAAATAAACCAAAATAACTCAAGTTGATTCATCTACAGCCTAGGATCAGCATATCATGTACTGGACCTTGCTTGAAAGAACGTACCAATAGGTACTTTGTCTGAGATTTCAATGCATTTTTAATAAAATGTTCAGATTACTTTCTGACATTGATCTCGGTGTTCCGAAGTGAGCAAACAACATGGTTATTGTTACATAATTTTAATTTAATTTAATTTTATTAGCTTTCCCAACATACATACAATACAGGACACGGATAAATTAAAATAACAATAACGGGCAGGCAACCACAACAGCGACAGCCAATTACTGTGGTCCCAAAACACAAGCACATAGATTTATACAACTTTCGACCAATATTCGTTGAGCATGAGTGCACTGATAACAAATTAAAGAGCGAATGAATTTGAGCATAGCCCATCCCCGTTGAGAAGACGCTGGCGTCCGATTCCACTGGCTTTACTGGTCTGTACTTGCATTGGTATACCTCGCCGTTTCAACTCATTCTTGTTAATCGGTTCGAATCGTATCAAATAGTTTCATTTAACTTACAAGGGTTTAAAACATTTCCTTCACCTCACCATCAACGAGCAAAGTCGAATAACATCCACGTAAGCAAAAGTGAAACAGGTGGCTTGGACGCTTGTGACTGTCTAAAATATTATCAAGCTCCAACCAGAGAACCCCAATCCTTTTCTTCATGCCAACTTACCTTCCAAATAAGCCCTGTACTTAATCTGTAAAAGGTTCCTTTGAAGTCCTCAGGAATCCAACAAGAAATCAATGTTCAACACAACTAACGCAGGCGCTGTGCTGCTGAACATTTTCCCGAGAAATGACGCACGGGGTATTCCCCAAGATTTGTTTTCGATTCTGGGAAAACCGGAAATGTGTGGAAAGGTGGGAACAGGACTGGAGGTAGAGAAATATGAAACGGCGGAATTTACCAATACGCGTGACTCCATTGAAATGAGAGAAAAGGGGTTATTTCAAGGAGAAGTTCGTTTCATCATTGAAACAATAGGCTTCCATACACAGCGGTAGGTCAGACAAATTTTCATTTTGAGCACAGGGAGCACAAAAGTTAATGACAGGTGCAACAGACATCAGATAGTGCCTCGCCCTCAATTGTCTCCAGCCCCGTGCTAAGAAAGTGCCAAGACGGCAGGAAAAGTCGAAATTTCATACTATGAAAACTTTATTAAAACTACAAATTATATAATTGCCGGGTGCTTCAAAATTCACACTTTAGTACTCAGTACTATTTTTAAAAGATCAATTCTGTTGAACGGAATCGGTGTCTGTTTCCAAGTCGTTATTTGTGTCTTCCTGATATCTTGCTCTTTCGTTGGCCATAGCAAGTTGTCGCATGTTCAACAGACACCCTGCGGCAGCTTCTTGTAAAGCCGCATCCTCTGAACCAATCATCTCCAGCAACAGCTTGGAATACAAAACAAGATTGATTGACATTGATTAAGAGTCTGACTGACTGCTGTCAATTATAATTAGGATTTTATTTCTAATATATACATATATATTTCTTTTTTTTTCCATGACTTGTAAATTTCGTTTATTCATAATTATTTTTAGTTTAATTCTGTGTGTGTGTGTGTGTCCCGACCTTAATATTGTAATTCATTCTATGTAATTTGGCTTCCTAGCCTTGTTAACCTTCTAGTTATTTTAGGTAGCCAACACCCTCTAAATTTAAAATTTTATTTGATGTTAATTTAACCTTCCCAAGATTAAGGGTAAATAAAGTTGTTGTTGTTGAAAGCCAATTATGGATCAGAAAACCATCATTGACAACCAAGAGAGGGTATTCTTTCATATCACNTAAACCCGTAGATGATAAATCAAACAACTTTGTTGTTTGATTTATCATCTACGGGTTTATGTCGAATTAATTTGATGGCCTGCTCTCAGTTGGCTTGTTAGCTGAATTGGTAGAGCGCTGCACTAGTATCGCAGAGGTCAGTGGTTCGAATCCCGTACAGGCCTGAATCTTTTTCAGGTCTGATTTTCACTATTGCTTAAATAGTGCTTTACTGCGAAGGATCGTGCACACATACGTTTCATAACCGCAGTTCATATATATGTATTTCATATGTTTGTTGATAGATTTTCTAGTTACGTATTTATTGTTTTGATGAGTTGTAACCACCACATGGTAAATTGCGTTTGCCTCACTCCATATGGACTCCTTATGGATGTTATCTCGCAACTTAGGTTTGACTTCTAACTAATTGTATTGTGAAAGTTCGCGTAAATAGAAAAAATGAAGTAAAACATATTTAGTGGGTCCGCAGTGTGTATATTAACTAGTTTTACTGTGACGTTATGAAAATTACCACTACTGCACATTCTTGAACAAGTCCCACGATAGGAACAAGAAACTCGTCTTTGTCCATGGTAACGAGTTTGGCTAACAGCGGTACGCTTCCGGCATTGAAAATTGCTGATCTAGGAACAAAAGATTGGAAAACGTTAGAAATATCGCCGAAATTTCCTCTTAACGAATCGCAATTGGATTAAAAACTGTCGTTTTATTCGCAGTCCTTGTGCACCTGTGTGTGCTACATATCTAAAAGTTATAACCAAACCCACGTAACACAACCGACCTACTGCGCGTGCTCTTGCTGCAACTCCAAAGTGCAAGGGCAGCATTACGTGCAACTTCAAGGTCCGACCTGGGCTGGCCTGGAGACCCGTTACCAGAAAGTCTCCTCCCAGTAAATTGACCTCCGTCGTAGTTCAGCAGACCAACCTATTACAAGAAAACGTGCTATTTTAAATTTTAACACAATTTCTTTCGCAGTTAGGGAGACGCAGAGGATAAATGTTCTCGTTCTGTGCGTAAAGTTTGGGTTCGATCCCTTTCTAGAATCGATATGTTTGTGTCCCTCTCCACCTAGGGGTATGAATTGTAAAAAGGAGGTTTTACTCGAGCCTAGAGATCCATTCAGCTGGAAGTAATCAACTTTCCCTTATGTGAAGCGACCAGGAGTGTTGCACCCCTCCCTGGATAGGATGCTAGTCCATCGTGGTTTACCCCCTCAGTACCGTGACCAATATTTTGTTGAGTTTTCTCAACAGTGCTCTGGTAGCTATTTATACCTCCGGGTGGAGAGAGGCCGGGGACTGAGAGAGAAAAGTGACCTACCCAAGAACGCAACACAATAACTAGGCCAAGAATCGAGCCCAGACCTATGTTCCGTGTATATAGTCCCTTGGGAGCATACACGGGTCCCTGAAAATTGTGTAAGGGAAACTCAAGGAAATGATGGTGTGAGATATTACACTTTTATGTTGGATTTTAACTTCCAATTGATAGCTTGTAGATAGCATTTTGAGACTGAAAGGACTGAGCTTTGCGAAGCTTTCTATGAGGAAGATTTAATGCCATTTAATTTAATTTTTTCCTAGCTCTTGATCTCACCAGTTTTTGTAAACCACCGTATTTTTTGAGAATATTTCTTCCCACACTGGATTTTGCCAAGTTGGCCAGGTTGGCTGCAGCTAAACTTTGCACCTCCTTTGGCGCATCAGTTATGAGATCCACCAGGATCTGGACGCCTACAAAATGTAAGATCGAGGTCGTGTAAAATCACATGACCCTAACGTCTCCAATTCAATGGCACGCAATGCGTGCAAACAAGATTAAAAAAAAAAAATACATAAATGAAAAACTAAGCAAAATATCAATCTTCAGTCGGGACAAGCATGGTTGAAATGAAATTATCAATTCTGATTAAGATGTTAAACTTTTTTTGGGAGCATGAGACGAACAGATATTCAATCACTAAGGTGCTGAGACTCTTTTGAGAGTGAAGTCATTTATTAGATTTAAATGTGGAAAAACAGTCCTGTCTTTTCCCTGGAACGACCATGTTGAAAAAGGCAACTCCCGATTCCTGTCTTCAAATGAAGATAAACATCACGAACAAAATAATCTGAAATTATTTGAACAAATACCAAAAGATCTGCCTGTTTTATTGATAAATGACCTTGTAATTAAGTTTTGAGGGTAAAAACCATTCAACTTTTCCTTATAATAAGATCCCTGCATCAAACACTGAGCTCACGAGAATAAAGGAAATGATCACCTGCTAAACATTTTCTTGATTGTTATAAACAATTTGTCTTATCAGCATCTCAGGAAATGTAAAGAGAACCTTATAGAGAATAGGATTACTGATGTTAGCCGGCAAAGGATTAAACTAACCTCCCATTTTAATAACAGCTCGCCTGTTGTAGATGCTACTTATAGTCAACTGTTGGAGAACTTTCAAGGCACCGATCTAAAAACCAGAGTATGTAATAATTGCCATTGGAACAGGTTCAGTTTAATTTTCAACTATGTTCTTTTTACTTAAGTTGAGGTAGTTGGCTTCCAGGACAAATCAGTGTTTGTTTTATAATTTATCCTGAGATGTTTACGGTTTGATTTGCCAATAATTCACGTGTAGCTCTTTAAAGCACTTGTCAATAGATGATTTGTTTTCAATCTAAAAATTCAAATGTCTCCCTGTTCCAGTCCCTCGCGCCTTTGCTTAAGGATTAGGCGGAGGACAATGCTTGTAGGTGAGTGTTCTTTGATTGGTGGTAATTTTTTGTAGCATAGCATAAACCCGTACCTGACAATTTACGTGGTCCGTTCTGAGAATATTAACAAGAACTGTTAACCCGTTCACATCGCGAATGGCCATCTGGGTCAGTTCTTGAGTTAAGTTGAAGTCTGTCAGAGCACAAAATGTGATGACCGTGGCGACCTGGTTACCATTCTAAAAACAGGAAAATCATTCTGCGAAATTATGAACTAGTTAGAAATTTTTTTTTTTGCCAGTGTGAGTTCCATTCGTCAGATAACATTTTCTCACCTTTAGAAACCTGATAAGTCTTTGTATTTGCCAATATTCTGAGGGAAGGTCAGCAACTCCCTATTAGATAAAGAGCCACTTATAATAATTGCCGGTTGTACAAGGGCAATGAAAGGATCGATATATTCGTGCACCCGTTAGTTCTCTCGCCTTCTTTCTTCCTTCCGTTTCTTCATTTGTTCGTTCATTCGTTTCTTCTGTCACTCTCTCATTCGTGCATTCGTTCGCTATCTCGCTCATTCGTACATTCGTTCCCTCGGTCGTTCGTTCGATCACTCGCTCATTCACTCGTTCGCTCATTCGTTCCTTGGTTCTTTAGTTCGCTTGCTCGTTCGCTATTACTAGCCATTCAGTGCGCATGCTCACCACTTTCCCATCTAGCACCCGGTCATCTTCTTCTTCACTCTCAGTTGAACTTTCCGCCGGCTCTGATGGAATTCGTAACACCGTGGATCGCCGGCTTTGCAAGTTTTGCTTGTTGCTACGGCTTACAATCCAAACAAATGAATAATGAACTAATGAAAAAATGTTCTCAGATTTTTTATTTGTAGACTGAATTTTAACTCGACTGAGTGAGTGAGTGAGTGATATAGATGGATGAATAAACGGATGAAAACCGTTGTGTTACCTTTCTTTGCGGTTTTGTTTTGTTTTAGGTTGTGGTTTGTTGACTTCTTTCACCTCGTCATCACTACAACGATCAAGAAACAAGACCTTGATATGCCTGGGTAAACATTTTAAGATCCAGCAGTTTAAATGATAACTTCAGAAGGAAGAGTCCCCAAGATTGTGATTGATGTAGACTCCCGCATGAAACATCTGTCAGGTGTACATAAAGCGTTCCTTGCGGGAACGTCAGACTACTGTGACAAACCATCTTGTTGAATAATCATGGAAGGCGTGCAACAAGTAAAAACATGAAGAGGTTCAAAGTCTTTGCCTCTAACCTGTCATCACCGACAACAAGCCTCAAATTTTTCCATCTCATGGAAGGTTTTCGGGGAGTAAACTGCTTCTCGCTTTTGGGCGTCTTTGTCTTCTTTTTCACCTTCTTTTTCTCTGGTTTTCTGCAAACGTTATTTTGGTCGAAATATATGACATTTCATTAAGAGTTTTATAAAATAAATTTTAGCACCAAAGCAGTACCCCTAACTATAGATAACTGCCTAGCTGGGCTTGAGATAATCAATATTTTGACTTAGATAAAACAGAAATATGAGACACACCTTTCTTCTGGTTTTTCTTTCTCTTCTTTATTTTCCGCCACGTCATCTTCAGTTTCACTGTCGCTCAGGTATTTATCAAGGAAGGAACTCTGTGAGCGAATATGCACTCAAAGTAAATTCTCTTTAGCTGAGGGTGCCGCAGTCAGATCTACTCAAAGAATTACCCTCTATCAAAAAAATAGTGGCACCTGATTGGTTAAAACAGGTGCAGTTGAACCCAGAGTTAGCGGAAGCTGCGCCAAATAAGTTTTCGCACCAAATTACGCGGTTGCATAATGGTTTAAGCTCGTTTCAAATCATGGTTTATGCCTTATGGGACCAGACATTCTGCCAAGGGTCGAAGGATTTTGAAATTTTGGGAGGGATCACATGGTATGCAGGGGGGATGGAAGGGTGATTAGTCGTCGCTTGCGATTGTAAAGGGGAGGCTATTGAAAAGTAACCCCAATGAGGGAGAAATCATTAGAATACTACAATGCCCTATTTAGGAGATTAGAGAAATTTTACAGTGGAAATCCTCCAAGCCCCGAGCTATAAATAATGAAGGGTACCTAATAACCTTCGCGGTCGTTCTTTCGTGATATCGCGTATTGAGGATCTTTGCATTTGTGTTGCCTTTTGCAAGAATCAAAAGATGATGTAGCGCCCATAATATCTTAATAGGTCAAGCGAACACTGCGCATGCTCTTTTCTGTTTCAGGACCTTACCTGTTTGTTTTCATCGGTAGTTTCCTTAGTCGAAGTATCCTCCACACCCTAAAGGTTATTTACATTCCATTTTAACTATTGCTATTAGTTTAAGAATAGAAATAAAGGAAACGACATTGTGATTAAATTTTAAGAGGAAAATCTCGAGTGGGTTTCAGAGTAAGTTTTTGATTCTTTTTTTAATTTTAATTTTTGTTATCATAAATAGAGGCTTTAGGAATACTGCACGCTTTGCTTGGCGTGTGCAGGAAAAAAAGCAATGACATTTCTCATGCATACCAAGAGAATATAAACTGTTTATAATCTCTCGTGCATACTTGTTCAGTGGCAGCGGTAGTTTCTTCCGAAGGGTTACTGTCACTTTTATCCTGAATTTCTTTGTTATCCTGTAAATTTCAGAAATGGAAGAAAGCACATTACTTCACAGCATACAAAATTATGTCAACGAGCTGACTTGCAACCAAAACTTACTGCCTACAGATTTCTGAGGTATTCATTATACTTGCCTTGATTTTTTCCTCTTTTTCAGGTTCAGGCCTTGATGAATATATCTGAGCATCGGCACTGCTTTCATTTCTAGAAATTTCTGACGATTCCTATGAAAAAATAGGTTAGTAAGTAAAAATTGATTCCTGACCTTGGCCCAAAGAATTAATTTGCCCAGTTTAGGAGGGAAAAAGTCACTCCTCTTATCTATCAACTGTAACTGAAGATTTACCGAATAATTATTGTGTCAATACTCAGTCGGGAGTAGTCGGTATTACTCGTAAAAATCCGGATTGTTGCATCTCCTATCGTCTCAAAGTTGTTCGTCTCGGAAAGTCTTGAGGCATTCTCAGGCCGTTATCAAACTACGCAAAACTAGTGAACCAACCTCAATTCGTGTGTCCATTTCATTGTCGCCAATTTGTGACATCTTAAGTCTTGATCTACAAGTTACAAAGACACAAGTGATCTACAAGTTACAAAGACAAGTGATCTACAAGTTACAAAGACACAGAAAAGCATAGATATCATTCCAGATTGTAAAAATCATTCAAGATTGTAAAAAGACGGATACGAAAGAAACACGTCATTCTATCATTCTATCGTCATTCTACCCTATTGTTGTATTCATGAAGAATCTTTTAGGAAACGCGGCGAGAAATCTCAGTCATCTGCATCACTGAATAGGCATAGTGGTCATCATCTATCTATTTTGCAAGAGGACCGACGTAAAAACCTTATCTGCGCGCAGTCGACCTGTAAGAGAGACAAATTAATGGAGATAATCGGTTATTTTTTGTTAAGCTATTATGCCTCCCAAACTACTTGTTTTATCGGACAAATTTTTCAATTTAGCGTCCGCAGCCAATTTTGAATCACCTTACACGTTACTTTAGCATATTGAGGCGAGAAGATTCAAGCGTTAAACATTTCATTTAGATATACTGTGTTTTTCCAAGTTGTTAAGAATAACAAGAGAACTGTTATTCTTCGCATCTGTCTTTATCCCGTGCGAAATTTATACAAGATATTGCTTAATCTTGACCAACAATTTGGAAATATTTCGCGGGTAGACATTTTATCATTATTCGTTTGCTCTTGAAACTGAAAAGCTTTGTTTTTTATTTGCCAACGAAAAGCTCAAATAGTTAAAACAATTAACTTAAATGTCAAATCTGCAAATTACGGAATATTTGCATTTCTGATCTCTCGAATTTACACCAGATGAATTTGACAGTAAATATAACGCTTAAGGTTTAATCGACTGTGAAATATATCGCTGCAATAGCTTTGTTAATCGGCAGAGATAGTCTTTTTCCTGCAACTGAACTTCGTTCGACAGCATTAACTTAAAATTCGCGACAGTTAGTTACAAAATAAATAGACTTCGCTCAAGTGACAATAACACGTAAGATCTGCTGACATAGAATTTGAATCAAGAACATGGTTGGATGATTTTTTTCGATGAAAGACTCAGATTTTGGTACGTATTTATACAACGGTTAAATATTTCCTCAACGTATAAGAAATAGTGTTTTCTCTCCCTCGCGAAGACGATTTTAGATTTGCATGCAGAATTTGTTTTCAAATTTTTTGCTCAATGTCTGAAATAATCTGTGATGAAAATCTCACTAAAAGAGCTTGCGCAAAATAAAATCTGCAATAATTAACATTGAGCCATATAGTTCATCGCTAGATTTTGGACGAACCGACATTGATCTGCTTCTAAAATTCCATGAATAAAATTTCGTTCAGTTACCATGTCAGTTTTTTTCAATCACATCCCATACTTTGTCAAAAAGCCAACAATTTTATTTGACAAGATTTATCCTACTGTCCTATGCTTTCCAGAATTTTTTAAACTCAAGCAATATTTTAATTATTTTTCCTTCAAAATACATTACTTTTGATGCTTACCTTTAAAAGTGTGCTGTATTGATGATTGAATAAATGTTCTTACCTTACAAATTTTAAACGTTTGTTTTTCGTCCAGAGAAACGTCAATATTTTCAAATCGTGTAATTCGTGTACTTCGATGAAGGAAAGTCGTATACTGGTTCGCTTTCTTTTGGGGCTCCCGTTAACAGGACCTAAAAAGTACTAGCATTTCAGCCTCAACGCTTAAAATCGATTTGGAGTCAAAATGTAGACGATCGATGTTTAGGCCAAACTGTAAGCAGCTAGGGACAGTAGTAGTATCCATGGCAACTAATGCGTGTCGTCAGCAGGTGCTTAGAATGACTTAGAGAAGAAAATTAACACTTTTTCTTGTTTAAAATTTTTAATATTCCACACGATATTAATATTTTATATGTAGTGCATTTTGCGAAAAATAAAATTTTTGCCTAGGCTTGTGTAGGAAAAAAAGATTAAAAAAGCAAACGAATCTTGGAATTGATAAATTTTGGAGTTTTCGATGGGAAATTTCTTCAACTATGTTGGCTTTGTTTGAAGAATTGACCTCGATTACAGCAATTTTTAATCGAGGGGCGAAGGTAATCTGGGATCGGTCTGGTCTGTTTTGTGTCGCTTTCTGATTGGTCCAGAAAACTCGCGCCAGTTTCTCGACCAATCAGATACAAAGCTAAAACCATTTGCGACTTGGTCACTCGCGTTTTCCCGCGCTTGAAGGAGTGTGTTGTTTTTACCCTGCGTTCTCATTGGCTCCTGGTGATATTTTCCTTTCTATGATTGGCAGTTTTGATTGCTTTGCTTTTGGTTTGGACACTCAATAGATAAATACTATACGAAACACTGTTTGTATTTTAGTAAGATGGCTGAAAGAATACTTTTTATGATACCTATCCTAGTCGAGTTAATACTGTAAAAACGTTTTTTCACAATAAAGAAAAAAGAAGAAGAAGGAAAAAGAAACGTTGCTTATACATTACAATGCTTTCAGTATGATACTCTACGAACATTACTGTAACCCTACCAGGAATACTCACAGTTTGTACCGCATTTTTGTGAGCACAGACGTGATAAAGGTAAAACAGGAAATTACACAGGAGACATTATGAAAAGAATCGGTAAGAGTTTATTAAAATTTAAATTGACTTCTCTGTAGCTAACTCTACACTTAATTTTGATTTCTCAACACTTACATGATCAACTATGGAAATGGCAGGACTTACTTTTCAATTCAACATCATCACGAAGGCATTTGTTAAGGTATATACACACATGGCACTTATTTGAGCAAAAGATGCAAGGTCTTATTTTCAACGTCAAACGAAAGGTAATGTGTTTGACACTGGTTGAATATGAATAGCGAAGAAGTCTTTTGTGGGCGTAGCTAGATTGACAGGGAGTAGGGAAGGACTAGGCAATAATAAACCGGATACGTCACAGATAGGAAATATGAGAAAAAAAACTTTTTCTGATGGGTATTGGTCGTTCACAGAAAGCTTTGTAACCATTTGATTAACCTCCTTTCGTAATCTTGGCTGTCTTTTTTCAATCTGTCGATTAAGTTGTCATACATTTTTTGTGAACGTAATTCGCCAGATCCATTAAATGGTCTTCAACAGCGTTATCAACTGGTTTAAAAGGCCGATAACCTTCTTGTTTTTCAATGTTTTGTTTCAGTAGATTGCTGTGTTTCAGGAACTCTGTGACGTCATTCTGTGGTATTGCGACTCCTCTAAAGTTCAAATTTTTCGATGTTTTGTTGGGTTCCGGACTGATAGCTTGGTTCCCTGGTTGTGGTGAAGAGGAACATGGTTTGCCTTTGACCTGGTCTGCTTTGGTTTGCGTTTCTTGTTGTTGTTTCTTCAGTTGGCGATACTTGGCGCGCTTGTTTTTAAACCAGACCTGAAAGAGACGAAAAGGAATGGATACTACCTAAGATAAAAACATATTTAGGCAAAGGTGGTTCAATACAACAAAAGAAAGGCTTCAGCTTAAAGCTTCTTAGTCACACCAATAATTGTAAACGATACTGTTTCATTGACAAGTAGAAATGACTGAACTGCATGAGGCCATAGTTTAATTCAGATTGTATCAAAAAAGGGTTAAGGCAGCAATGTTTAAAAGCGTTGAAAGCCACGCCATAACCCGCTGAAAATTCCAAGAGCCATTCCATTCTCCATTGACCAATCAAATCTGATCGCGTGACCGAAGTTTCAAGTGCCCTGAATGTGCTCAAAAGATCAGGAAGTCCGTTCAAACTTCTCATGACTCACGGAAAACTAATTTACATTCATGAGATTCTAGAAAAACTGTGACTAATCAAGAGCCAAAATACATTTCGATCTCAGATTAATTCACCCTAATGTTACAAAGCGATTATCGAAGTACGAAGAGATGTTTTTTCCAAATTATATACTAAGCTACTGGGTTCGCGTGCTGACGCGAGAGCCAGTTTTGCGCCACTACATAATTCCATTATCGCATACTACACTTCTTAGCAGCTCATAGACTAAGCTAATAAAATAAGAAAAGGATTAATGCTGGATTAAAGAGTCGTTTGCGTAGTTTTAATTGGATACCCCATGTGGTGTAAAACCTACTCCAGTGATAGGTTCTATTCGTGAATTGTTGGGATTGGAAAGATTTCTATTTCCATTCATTTATTTTTTTAACAGAGTAAGTAAGTTTTATTCCAAGGCCTACAAGACTTTAGTCGGTATGACGAAGGTGCACTAAAAGAATCAAGTTGACAGAATTTGCTTTATCGACTAGCAGAAATAAAGTTGGCAAACAACAGCAAAGGCAAACAAGAAAGCGAAGGTCAAAATTAAAACTGATGAGCATTCTGGGTATCAAATAAACTAAGTGAGAAAATTCAAACTGACAAACACAACGAACTATATAGAAAATTTTTATGCAAACCTGAAACTGTCCCGTCAATTGATTCGAATAAGAAATTTGTCAAAAGGAAATACCAATTTCTTTATCTACAAAACAGCTAATCTGCCATTCAAAAGCATCAGAATTATATTTTCATCTAAAAAGTGGTGCATCATCATTTATAACAACAACAACAAAGGTGCTATCAATTTCTTTTGATAGGAATCCAATTTTTAAGAGGACATAGAGGGAAGAGATTTTTTTTTGCCGTCATTATATTCGAAGTCAGTTCCTTCCCAGAAGCGAAAGATAGTTCAAATCCAAACCGGGGAAGACAAAGAAAAAAAAATACATGCAACGTTAACAAACAAAAACAAGCGGTCTAACCTGCACTCTGCTCTCTGGCAGATTGATTTTCGTAGCGACATCTTCTCTCATAAAGATGTCAGGATATTTTGTTTTGCTGAAGAGATCCTCCAGGATTTCAAGTTGAGCTTTAGTAAATGTGGTTCGCTCCCTGCGCTGTTTTCTCGGAGGGCCTAAAAAAAAAAAAAAAAAATATATATATATATATATATATATATGAGTCGCAAAAAAATATTGACTTAAAAATTTTAGTAATGTTGAGTTGTATTAAACAGTATTTGACATTTGTTAAGGAATTTAGAATGGAGTGTGGATTGTAGACCGAGATGTTCGAACTATTGAGGCCCGCGCACTTGGACCACAGGAGACTTAATGATTAAAAGTTTGTTATCATATAGAAGTTCTTAACAAAATGGCTGAAGCTTGTTTACACTTCTAGATCCAAGATGTCGCCATAATCTCCTCCAGCTTCTAACATTCTCATTCTCCGCCGATATTATAAAGAAAAATAACACATCAGTTATTCCAGAGAGTCAGAGGGCAAAGAAGCGAAGATGCTACTAACACCAAATAAGTTCGTAAGAACACGTATCTACAAGCGTGGAGTTTGCTTCTTCGTCAGGGACTCCGCGGATTTTTCCTTTTTCACACACTCGAGACAACTGATCACAAATAACGGCTTACTTTATGTTCTTAAGATTTAGAAAATAAGATAAGGAGAAAGTAGAATGTTCTTTCTTGTAAAGAATAAATTGAACTGGAATAAACTGGCATATTTTGATTATAGAAAATGTCTGTTTTAAAGCTGTGCAGAGTGGTATTTGAGACTCGGCAGTAAAATTTTCGTTAAACACCACTTTTTTTTTTTTTTAAATTCTGCTGGTCATGGTATCAATTTACAAACTGCATAGAAAAGAAGGCTTTTATCACAGCTAATGAAAAAATGCTAAACGCCTTACAATTTGTCTGTTTTCTCAACGTAGTTTTTTTCTAAGTTCAAATTTTAAAGAAATTCTGTCATTAGTGACCGAAGAAAATTGACGAAAATCTCTGAGAGTGGTTTCACTGCCTCATTATTGGTAATCATAATCTGCCATTATCCCTGATTAGTCCTCTGTAACGAGCCGAACCCATTCCTTTCACGATGCTCATCGATCTGGGCTATTGGAGAAAAGATACTGTCAATTTGTAAAGTGAAGTCTTGTTGCTAACGCTCTTGTGATCATATAAACACAAAAAGATCCTTATATAAGTATAAATGATGCTGTAGCGTTGCTGACAAAGGCGAAGCATTTACCTAAGATGAACCAAACTGATGCAATTAAAGGTTACGTCCTGCTTCGAAATCGATCAAACACACGCACGTAAATTAAGGAAAAAGAGAAATCCGTGCGTGCCAAAAAGATTCAGTTTACTCTGGAAACAGTTCAGCTTAAAAAAAAAAAAAAGACGGTGGTGATATTCTATATACCTTCTATGAATGGCCTTGATGCTAAGCAATGAAAACAGCCCCAGTAAGGCGGACAACTCATCCAATTTAACGCCATAACTAGTCTAAAAATGAAGATGTCGATCCTCGCGCCTCTAAAGGAGTAAGTGGCAAATGCTTCTTGTCTCAATAATTTGTTGCTTTAAATTTAAGGATTTATAAGAATAGTTTCACCCTGAGACCTTTTTACACATCCCGTGATATTACTTTTCATGCGCTTTTGGTTGGAGCTCTCTAATTTATGGGATTACTACCTTTACTTGTATATGCTTTAAAAAGATAATTCTCGAACCTTTGAGGTTTGCAGGACACTTTACGTTAACTCGATTAATGAACAATCTGCTGGTAATGTTAAATAGGGCAATCAAAAAATCGCTCAAAGTCACGAGAGAATCTAATGACTCTGTAACCGACACGCAAAACAGGAAGCACGTGCAAAGTGAATTTCGTTGCTATGGAAACAAATGAAAGGCAATGTTCTAAGAATGCCAAATACTTTCAAAGGGAAGGAGGATTCTAAAAAAAAAACAAGTGTGTAACCGAGTAATGGGAAAGATTATTTTTTAAGAAATGTCTTAAACCGAACAGATTACGGCCAAACGGAAGGTTTGACTCGAAGAATACGCCTTTCTGGCTAGCCAGGTACTCAGATGAAAAGGAGTCAGGGATTGTACTTTAACAGAATATTTTAAATGGCTTTTTTATGAACACTGTGTTCCGTTAAGATGAGCTGTTTCCTTCTTAGCAGAGGCTTACACTTCAATACTGTACAAAAATGATTTTAACACACGAAAGCGCAAAACTTTCCCTCTCATGAAACTTCGCGGAAAAGGAAGTACATCAGGGCAGCAGGGAACGAAAACGCTTTGATGTGTACTGCACTAGATTGTTATTTTGTATGTCAACTTTCGCTTTCTATGGCGTGAATTTGGTTGATGGGTAGGTAAGATCGGAAATTCACTTAGAAATATAAAGCATATTGACCTGAGAGGTTAATATAACTTACCTTCATATTTGAGTGCCTCAAGTTTCACAAAATCCATATTGAACGGGTTTAAGCCCATGCCATGTATAAGCGTAAGATTCGTTGTACCAGGTGGAAGACGTCCATAGGGACCAGCCATTTCTGTGACTTTCGTTCAGTTTTCCTCTTTGTCTCAGATAGAATCTAACAGTTCCGGAGAAAATATTACCATATAAGTAAAATTGGCTTAGGATCTGTTGGCTTCAGCTCAGAAGCTTAAGTTCAAGGGTCTTGTGACGTAAAATATTCGGTTGCTGATCGGAACTTCTGGCCCAATGATATTGAGCAAAGAAAAGGTTCATTTGTTTATATCTTGATTATCTTTCCTTTGAAATACTATTTCTTTTGTTACTACCTTTCCTTTCTGTCCAGTCAGCTAATCATACAAATATCCAAGCTGATTTGCACCGATTATTTCTGTCTGTGTTAGCAATGCTAGAAGATTCAGAAGGACAAACTGAAATAGAAAGACAGACGTGGCTGCTGACAGTGATGGCTTCTATATTTCTGACCGAATAAAGAAAATTCCCCTCTGTCAAGTATCAGCCCATAAATATCATGTGTTATTATTGTATTGTCTCAACCCCTGAGGCACTGATAACCCCATGTGGACCCTTTGTCCTGACGATTGTTTTTAAGAAAAACAAAACTTAGTTAGGTCTCAAAATCTGTTAGAATTTTTAGCTGTGGGTAGTTATAAGTTAGATAACTATGGACTATCTATGAAGAAAGCTGCTGCACGAGATTCACGATAATTAACAGAAAATACTGATGAATAAAGTTGGAAACATCTTAGTTTCTTCAGCCGGAAAAATACACTGGTGCCCAAGGGTTAGACATAAAATGATAGGTGTACCATACTATTCCGAGATCATTTCCCTGATCAAGACTAAATATTTTAATTCGAACGTTAAACAGTTACATTCGAGAGTCTAGCTGTCTACCAAGAATAATAACACCAGTAAAAATCGTTACATTTAAGGGAGTCCATCGTTATAGAGTTGGTATTCTGATCAAAGCTCGAACGAGGGAGAGAAAGGCAGGGAGAGGGGGAGGGGGAGGGGGGAAGGGAGGGCTATGGTGGCTTTCCGCAACATGCATGGTTGAGGTTTTGACCATTATGGTTTTCAAGGGAACCGGGTAACTTACCTTTGCGTAGAATTTTGTTAAGTACCCCCCGGCCCAGAGCGACGGGTCATCAAAAGGACAAATTTAAGATCGGATGCAAATAATCTTGATTTGTCTGCAAAGCGAGAGGAGGTACTGTGATTATTGACTGAGACTAACTGATGTCTAAAATGAAAAAAAATTCTATTTATACATTTTTCCCTGTGGCTACATTTATTATGCCACGAGGTCGCGGTGTTTTTGCATGTTTTGTGTTATCATTTCTAGCTTATGGCTGGGTAATTCACCGATTACGATCTCAAACTCACTACCTTTACACTCTTTGCCAGGAGCAAACAAGCCACAGCATATCACTGCCATTAAAAGCTCTGTCTGTTTCACCTGAGTAATGTTTTGACATCGGATATTATTTTATTTTAATTGTTATTTATATCATCCGCCACACACATAGAAACCGCAGAATTTTCGATTTACAGCGACGAAACTTTACAAAGACACCGTTAGCCCTTTCACTTTCAAGACCTCATTGATAATTTCTCATTACTGCCTGCAATACAATTCTTATAGTGTTAGTTCGGAGCGATTAGCTTTGAATCAACCAATAATCCCTTAATTGATATTTTTCTTTATTCTCATTACTTGTGTGCTTGATATTGTATTGATATTGTAAGGAGAAATTCTGTCTTAGTCACGCAAAGGTGTCAAAAGGTCAAACGTGATCACGTACAGCGTAAGTTGCAGAAGCACGCGAAAGTCTCAAGGTATCGTCAAGGACTTAAAACAATAAACAAGTAACAAGATTCCTTATTACAAAACCTCGTGATTCTTGTGCGCCTGTACATGTTTGGTGAAATCATCTTCCGTGTAAAGAACACTCGACGTGGTTCATAAAAAATTGACCAATCATAATTTGCGAATTTCTTGAGACAATTGATAAACTTGTACTTTACCCCTGAAGGCAGTTGGCTCCCATTGACCTTAAGAACGTTTGAATCATTTTTTTTTTACACTACAGAAGACAGATGACATCGTATATAATTTACAAATAACTGAAATGAATAGGAGCTCTGAAGCAAACTGTCGGAGATAACAAACATTAAACAATATAAATAAGGAAGTATTATTTTTCCCAAAATGTCACACTCAGAGACTGCAAAAATCGTCAAATTCAAAGTAACAGGTGGGAAGCTTTTCTGCGGATAAGATTCTGTATCTAGCTGGCTCCAATGAAGCAAATTCTTTCTTTCTGTCTGCGGAGGATTGCCAACTTTGAGTGTGCAAAAAGAAAAAAAAAAAAAAAAAAAAAAAAAAAATTAAAAAAGCCCTGAAAACTTAATATTGCTTGGAGCAGCTCCACATGGTTCGAACTTCCTTACTTACGCACAACATTTTTTGTTCAATAAAAACATTTCCTCGACATTTTTTTGCAGCGATAGTATCGCAAAACATGGATTAAAAGAAGTCAAAACAAACAAAACCCGGACAGGTTTCTCGAATTTATCTTGGAATTCTTTTCTTTTCGTCTGACAATAAATCCTCGTTCTTTTTCGTTTTATTGACCCTATTTCATCATTACTGAAGGCAGACATAGAACTTGTTTAATATCCATTGGCTTTCTAATCAAGCATTTGAAAGTTGGTCTATAATCCATGAGTGAACAATCCACTTCGCAGTGCCTGTTGTCAAGTTGTCAATTGATATAGATTCAGCAACGCGAAAAAAAAAAAAGTTATTTTTGAATGAAAGAACACCGAAATATCACAGACCATTGTTTTGAATGGTGACCTTTTTTGATTGTTTGAAAGATATTGTTAACATTGTACATGTTTGTTATTTTGTTTTTGGTTGAAATTCGTAGTGTTCTGCCGAACGATGAAGCCAAAAATTAGTATATATATAATTTTCCCACTCAACAGATACTTCTCGTAGGATTTGTGAGACAAGTTTCCTTTCGACAACCATTACCGTTTAGATTTTGCAGTAAGACAAAAGCGGAATTCGATCCGATATAGGCACACAAAATATGAAAATAATGAGCTATCATGCAGAAATTAAATACACAAATTTGATTTCCCAAACTTAGTGTATGGCAAACAAATTGGATTAAGAGTTATTGTACTGGTTCACAAAGGACAGTTGGAACTGAGAAGTGAAAGATACTGCAGGTTACTTTAAATCATGCTAAGTTAAAGAGGGACGTGACGTTGAAACAGGAGTTTTTGCTAAGTTTAAAGTTACCATCACTCTTTTTACAAATCACTGGGTACATCACCTGGATTTACTCAGTGAAGATTCATTATGTTTGTTGTTTCAGGACCCGGGCTATCTCCAAGCACTTATCATTGATGAGTTGAACTTTTAGTCATGAAACCATTAAACAAAAAAAGAAATTCCATCGAATGTATTTCTGGTTCATTCAGGAAGTCTTAATCACACATTTCCTCACATCTCAACATGACTTGGCAAATTTTTTGAAAACAAAACATTTAGGATCATGATATTTGCGGTTGGAGGGTGAATATCAAATGACACCGGTCTATTGCATTTTGGCTCATCCCAGCGAGTGCATTTCATCGCGCTCATTACTTTTTCCGGTGCACATGGCTTTAACACACGTATCACAATAAGCTTCTTTCCTCTTCCCTCCCCTCCCAGACGGAAATTTTGTGCTCTCCCTTTGAACCTTTACTTGAATGAACACACGCGCAGAGCATGGCAAACTAGTTCAGTTTTGGACGGCCGAAACAATCTGTGTAAAAACGGTCAAATGATGTTAATCGTAATGATGATTAATAACATATAAATAATGAATTTAATAGACAAGGAAGAAAACACTTGGATTTCGATAGTCAACGAAGTTCACAGCTAAAAAGTTCCCTCACAAACAAGTGCCATTTGATTAATTGCTTTGCTAAAACATCACATAAATATCTGTAAATGCTTTCTTTATATCAGTACTTATCTTTATTTCAGTACTTATGGTTCAGATTCTGTGCCTTTTCAACTAATCAGAACTCGGGAAATACACTATATCTTGTCTCATTTTTTAATTGTACAATTATACAGTTTGTGAGTATGTGGTGATTATTCTGTGCAAATATACAATAAAGAATTATGCATGCGATCTCTCTCTTACCACTTGTCATGTTTGGGTACGTAGGGTATTTAATTTCAAATGGTCAAGGAAAATCAGTAGGGAGTGTTTGGTTTTCAATCATTTCAGCTCTAAAACTGCTGTTCTGTTATCAGTCCTAGAAACACACAACTCCATTAAAAAGAGAACTTTAAACCTTTATCATCGCGTTATTCTCATGAATATTTTTTTACTCTCGTGAAGAATTCAACATATTGCATTTTTACACCCAAAATAATCTTTAATCCAGTCCATAGTCCTAAATTCAAGGTACGAACCATGTAATGACACATTATGAATGAATACAGATATTAGTAACTATTCTTTAATAGCAACGAGACCATTAATGGGATAACAACTCAGCAACATAACATGCACACAGGCTTTTTTTGCAGGTAGGGCTAAATGACATTTATCGTCCAAATGTTAGACTGAATTTAAATCGACAGTTGTAAGTACTGGGGTTCGGTCGTTCCCATGCAATAATTAAGTAAATAAATATTTTTTTTACTTTGTTCTATGTGAAATAAAGGGCTACAAATCATATCATTGCAGGTGCAAAATAACCAGGTTGTACAGTATGATTAATGGCCATCCAGTTAGCCATTTGTATGTTTTTTACGTACGGCGGAAAATCTGGCTTGTGGATCGGATAAAACTGCGACTGCAGCGCAGTTTGTGATGAAGCAGCCCTGTGACCATTGACTGCAGTTGAGGGCGGATATAGTCCACTCCTCTGAATTTTTAACATAGTTTGCATATTCTGCTCCACTGCATTCATGCTTTGTTTCGGCCATGATTCCACCGCCGTATTATGAGACAACTTTCTGGCTGTTTGATCTGGTGGCGACGGAGGTGTGTTTCTCTTTGCTGGATCTTGCAAGGGTGGTGAGGGTATTTTTCTCTTCAGTGTACTTGGTTTGGTGTGGGATCCTGCAGACTGCTTGTTTTGCTGGCGACACTTTGCTCGTTTATTTTTGAACCAAACCTATGAATAAGCAGAACGACAGTTGAGTGTTTTCTGAAAATAGGAGAGCGTAAAACTTAATATTTTTTATCCAGGTGAGCGCCCTTTTTTGGCGTTGTGCTAAAACTGCTAAAAAAAAAAAACAAAACAAAACAAAAAACAAAACAAAACAAAACAAAACAAAAAACAAAACAAAACAAAACAAAACAAAACAATGACAAAAACGTATGCCCAAAACCACGCTTATTAGATTACAGAAATGACACGAGAGACTCAAAGACAATCAAACACGGGTTATTGCAACATCCTCGGGAACATCTAAACCAGTAATCGCGTGAATTTATCATTCGTGCGACATCTACTCCTCAAAGGGTAAGATTTACAAACAAACTAACTCACGCTATCAAAATATTTGCTTTAATTCTATTCTAAGACAATTATATCAATAAATTACTAAACATAATCGCTAAACTATCTTAACAATTCAATCAGGCGCGATCCCAACATTTCAGATGCCGAACTTTTTCTAGAATACGAGTTTCGTGCACATTGTGGCCATACTCCGAATAGGGCCACCTCATCTGTCGCCACTGGTGACATTTTCTGATAGGATTACACCTCTATTTAGCAAGCTTATATTAATTATCTAGCCAAGGGTTAAGCTATGGAAAATTAGCCACTAATTAATTGAAGGCTTTTACCCACACCGTTCTGTCTGATCTGGTTTGTTTTGTTGATAGAGTTACGCCTCCGACAACAAGTTACGGTAATTTGTGGTCATATCCGTCATCTTTACACACAACAATGGATGCAAGAGAGGGGAGTGACAGGCGATTGTTTGCCTTTGATTGAGATTGTTACGTCTGGAAAAAGATAATCTGTTCGTAGAAATTAGACGCCGCAGGTGATAGAATTTTTCAAACTTCTATTCTAACAAATAAAAGCGAGAGCATTTGCACACCTTTCCACTTCGTGCAATTTTCTATTTTTCTAAAGTAAACATTGTTAATATCATATTAGGATTTGTTGATAATAGCATTTAGCCAGTGACCTCTGATAATCTGTAGCCGGCTGTTCATTTTTCCGAAACAGAAGATGAAACCTCCAGTGTGAGAATGTCACCTAAAATATTGCCCATAAAAAGTAATAGATCCGTCCATCGCATTTGAGACTGAGCAGTCGAAATGTGCCGAAACACATATGCAGCTACGATTGTAGCTTCAACAATGTAGACATCTTAACAGATATATGTATTAAAAAAAGTGGTTAAAATATTTGTTTTAACTCTTTTCGACACTTCCAACCCTTTCGAACAGACTGTAACCTAATTTTAAAGGTTAAATCTGTTCTATGAAAGTTGACGGCACCTTCGCTGACATTCAAGGGGAAAGGATCTGTTTAATTACTTTCTGACCTCATATGATGAATATGACTATTATTTACCTGCACCCTGCTTTCAGGAAGATTTATTTTCAAGGCCACCTCTTCCCTCATGAAGATGTCTGGATATTTTGTTTTAGCGAACAGCTCATCCAGTACTTCTAATTGAGACTTTGTGAAAGTTGTTCGTTCTCTACGCTGCTTTCGTGGTGGTCCTGTTAATAAACAAACATATATCAATAAAACAAAAAAAGTAAATGTTTTAGGCTTTGCTTCGTTTTACAAAACCCCTGATTAAGTTCCTTTCTTTTTATCTTGGGTGTAATGTAGCTCCTTGTTACGACTGAAAATTACTGTTATAGCTCTGGAATTGAGGACAAGGCTTCGTTTAAACACTGCGGAAATTGGATATTTTTTCCCCAACAATTTTAACCATTTTTCCATATGAATTCAACCCAAGTACACTATCAACCGCGTTCGTCCAAGATGGAGATGAAATTCCGAACATCCTTGAACTAAAATACGCACAGAAATTTAACTGTGGTGTAAACTAGGCCCTCTTGTTTCAAAAAAGGAAAATTTCTTCCTCTCCGCTGGAGCAGTAATTACGACCGTTTAATAGTGACTATCACCAAAGTCGAGGAAATTTGTGAAAAGGAAGAAAAAGAAAGAAATAGACTTAACGTATATATATATATATATATACGATCTCAAGCTTTTTATACCTTCCATGAGTCTTGACATTAAACATTGAGGACAGCCCAAACAGGCTGGAACGGAAAACGGAGGCCAAGCAAATTCCATAGTGGTGCAAAAGTGTAGTCAGTATCTGACGATGATGCCTTCCTCTTCACGAGACAGAGAGCTTTGAGCGGAGCACAGTATTTATAGGACGCGACCAAGATTTGGAAACCATCAGAACCGTTGCCCTTAATGTTGATGAAGGGATTATACCGCTATTTGTGGCTTAGCTGGCAGGATAATTCTAAGCCGACAAGAGTTAAGCCAGTCTTTAAATAACGGTATTCCGTGACATGCTTTTGGGTTAAAGCCGTATCTACCGACCAGGCGAAGATTAGAAATTTTTTTTATAACTGCCGAGGATTGTAATGTCTACTCATCGGCGGCTGATTATGTCCTACAATGTCTAGGCACGAATGTTATTTGCTCGGAGATAAATACCGTACAGGCCTTAACTGCACCTGCCCAGAGCGAGAAACAAGAATTTGACAGGATTTGGCAAAGTTAAAATCAGGTTTTAATATTTGAACCCTCAGTGGGAAGTAGAGGAAGTCGATAAGCCTAAAAGCCCAAAGCTCTTTGAGGTCTTTAAACTGGCTTTGTACACTCGTACAGAATTGTAATAAACTTGGGGCACGATGTTACGTGTCATACAACAGACAATTGTGAAACTTAAGAAACTGTTCTTATTTTGGTCATATTCCCACGTCTGTTTTTAGTGTCAAGCCAGTTTACAGCAACATAAATGGACAGAGAGTCTTTATATTTTTAGCACTGGAACTAAACAAAAATTGGCTTATCCTTAAACCCACTTACTGCGCTTCAAGCATTACTGAGGAAAGATTATCTATGTTGAGAAATATCAAAGATATTACATGGTTACAAGCGACATATAGACATGCAAGGTAAGAAGACCACCCAATACAGGTCATTATAACTCCTTACCATAAACTGGGAACCAATCGTTCAGTAGTAAGTCTGTATTTGGCGTGGAAAAGTTGTATCCGCTCATTGCGCACGAAGACAATCGTCCATTCATGTTTCCTCCTATCTGTCTTACACAACCTAGCGTGCGAGAAATAAAAGTGTTGTCGTAAACTTTGACCTAAAAGGGAAGTTATTTGCACGTGTGCAATCTTGTGGTGTGAGGTGTCTTGAAAGAAATCACGAAACCAGAATCGATAACAAACCCAACATCCCAAATTAGCCATGACTCTTTTCAAAAGGTCACGTCACTATCTTTAAAGTTGCAGCTAATCAGCTTGACACATCGGCAACTTCCGATGAATGATTATTCCATTGCGATCACGCGAAACAAACACGTTGATCGGCAGCCATCATTCATAGACTGCGTTAAGACAATTAATGCCCAGTCTTCTCTCATACTTTTTTTCTAGCTCAAGACGGGGAAAAGACTGAGAACTACTTACGGGAAACTTAATTAGCTTTCTATCTTTTTGGAAATATTTGTGGAATGACTGCAAAAAAACTATTTAAGATTGATTTTTATCTATTTCTACGTATTAATTAAATATTGAAACTCTTACGGAATGTTTCATGCGCTATGGTGCTATTAGGTCAGTTATAATTAACGTATGTCATTTCTCTGAGGAGTTTTGTCATCGTTTGATTAAAATAGTTCTTTGGCCAGTTGATAGAACTGATCAATCCCTTGAAATATACTATCTAGGTTCTCACATCCCTCTGGCTGTGACACTTGATGATACAATGATACAAAGTCCTTTCACATGGAGGGTTCGCCTAGTGACTAATACATTAATACACATCATCTAATCCCAAAAAACCCTCCATGCCGTTTTCTTGGTTTCGTTTTGCTTGTTTGTTTGTTTTTTTACCATACAAAATACGTTGTTTTTTATGGAGCCATTTTGGAACTGTGCGTCGAATGCATTCCATAATGCTTGAGTATTTCAAAATGCTCTTTGATTAATTCAGGACTGTTAAAAGTTTTGAATAAGTTTTTCGGAAATACCGTTAATTTTTCATACTGTATTTCAGTTTTCCTTACATTAAGGTAAAAATTTATATGAAAACGTTAACCCACTTTCGGAAACTCGGCCAATTATATGATTTTGAAGTTTACAATTACGACAAGATATGAATTAGTGGCATAGCTTTACTCACCGGCAAAAATAAATCCGAGCGGGATCTTCTCTCAGATTAGAGTAGCAAAAAAGATTTGACGACGCCTTTTCATTTAGTACGGCCTACCAGACACTTGGGTCTCAAAATACTTTTGAAAAGAGATGGAGGAAAATTTCCAAATTTGTAGAATCTTCTTAAAACCACAAACGACTCCAAATGACTGATGTGACCAGTGCAGGAATTTCGTCATCTAGTGTTGATGTAAGTGTGTTTCCTTGTTTCTGCTAGGCACGTTCGGTTTTTGAAACACTCTAAACAATGAAATTGTGGGGTCAGAAATATCTGTATTGATGAAAATAGAACTACGAAACCTGGTAATGGCAAGATAAAAATCAAACCAAGGACTTACGAAAAGCCTAAAACATTTGTTAGCGCTTACTCCTTATATTTGTATTTCCGGGCGTGTCAGTGTTCTTCGACTACAGTGCTGAAAAATTTCTTTCATACTGTTACGGATGATTGATCAATCAGTTTGACATGTTTAAAATAAGACATCCTGTCTTTTTATATAAAAGGAAACAGGAAGAAAGAACTGAAATGAAACTGCGATTTCGTGCAAGCTCGGCGGACTGCTAACATGCTTTCGCCTTTGGACTGAAAATAAAAAAGAAGGACGAGAGAAAGTTACTTGGTAACGTTGCTTGAGCAAGAAGGATTTCCGTTTTATAAGAACACAGATCGGCATAAATCATTTTCAGAGAAGTCTGTCCATGAGAGATGTTATGGTTCCAGCCAATGTCGCTGCTCTTCTTTA